GAGCTTAGCAACAGGTAGAGGTTCTTTAACTGGCAACAGTGAAAACTGGTCCCACGAGATATTTTGGCAGTGTGTATGAAAAACCTTAAAAATGTCCAGTCCATCTAGAGAGCTGTAAATCATAAATCTGTGTTATCCCCAGTGGGCACTGAGGCTGTGGAAGACAGAAACTGCCAGATCCCTGGCAGGTCCTCTTAAAGGGCCCACACACACAGATTTACTCAGACTCACTCCCTGTGAGATCCAATGTAGAGGCAGCACACTGAAAGGCATCAGAGACATATGAGGCAGAACTGAATTGTCTGGCACCAGGGTGAGAGCCAGGGAGGCAGCCTTGTCCCAAACAGAAGTGCTGGCAAAGGCCACTGTTCATTTCCTGAGCCCTCCCCCAACAGAGACACAGAGCTGGCAGGCAGGCTCCACATCCCAGGTGCCATAAACCTGGCTCACACTGTGTGCCCCACCCTACTTATTCTGTGAGGCCCTGCCTCAGCCAGCTGCTGGGCCTACCTAAGGTGTTTGTAGTGGCTTTTTCATGTGGATGTCTTACCTCGGTGAATGCTTCAGATTTTCCTAAATTCTCTCAAACAAGCAGCATCTATCTTCAGTGAGCCCTGTACCTCTCACTAAGTTGCCCCAGACCAGCACTAGCAGCCATCAGCCTTGGTTCACAGCTTGGCCTCTCCTGGGCACCTCTGAGCCCAGGACAAGTAGCAGCCATCTGCAGTTCACTTGGTAGCTTGTGCTGTGTGACCCTGGATGGAACACAGGTGGAGGGTGGTCTTGGACATGCCCATATCAATCAAGACTCCACTAAAACAAAAGGGTATACACAGCACACAGAGTGGGAGTGCCCAGGAGAGGCCTCTCATACCCAGGTTGGGAAATAGGGGAGGCTGTGTTACTAGACCCTACAGTACAAGTACTACATTAAGTCACTCTGCCAAGCCTGGGAGATGTAGCAGCTCTACCTAGTACATAGAAACAAACACAGGGAGGCTGCCAAAATGAGGAGACAAAGAAACATGCCCCAAATGAATGAACAGAAGAAAACTTCAGAAAAAGACTAAACTAAATGGAGACAAGCAATCTATTAGATGCAGAGCTGAAAACACTGGTTACAAGGATGCTCAAGGAACTTTGTGAGAACCTCGACAGCATAAAAAAGACCCAATCAGAAATGAAGGACACACCAATTAAGAAAGAACAATTTATAAGGAATCAACAGTAGTCTGGTTGAGACTGAGAATCAGATCAGTTATCTGGAATAGAAGGAGGCAAGAAACAACCAATCCGAACAGCAAGAAGAAAAGAGAATCCAGAAAAACAAGACAGACTAAGGAACCTCTGGGACAAGTTCAAACATACCAATATTCACATCATAGGGGTACTAGAAGGAGAAGAGAGAGAGCAAGAAATTGGAAACCAATTTGAAAAAATAATGACAGAAAATTTCCCTAACTTGGTGAAGGAAACAGGCATACGGTCCAGGAAGCACAGAGAGTCCCGAACAAGACGACCCCAAAGATGCCCTCACCAACACACATCATAATTTAAACGGCAAAGTTTAGAGATATAGAGAGAATCTTAAAAGCAGCAAGAGAAAAGCAGTTATTACCTAGAGGGGACTAATAAGACTGTCAATGATAAAAGAATCTTCGTGAGGGAAGGGGGATAAAGGAGGAAAGAAGGGGAAGGACCTAGTTAAAGAGCTAGTATAAATGACCCACGGACATGGACAACAGGGCGGGGACTGACTGGGAGTGGGGGTGGGCAGGGGAGGGGAGAGCAACAGGGGAAAATTGGGACAACTGTAATAGAACAACAGTAAAAGAAACGTTGCATATTGGAAGCAATTGGCAAGAAATATTCAGAGTGATGAAAAGCAAGGACCTACAACCCAGTTTACTCTACTCAGCAAAGCTATATTTGGAATGGAAGGACAGGTAAAGAATTTTCCAGACAAGAGAAAGCTGAAGGAGTTCATCATCACCAAACCAGGGTTAAATGAAAATGTTAAAGGGTCTTCTTTAAAAAGAAAAGAACATCAAAAATACGAACAATAAAATGGCAATAACTACATATCTATCAACAAGTGAATCTAAAAAACAAAATAAACCAACAAGCGGAACAGAAACAGAATCACAGATACAGAGAACGTTTTGATGGTTGCCACATGGGAGGGGATCGGGAGTGATGGGTGAAAACAGTGAAGGGATTGAGAAGTACAAATAGGTAGTCACAGAACAGCTGTGGGGATGTAAAGTACTGCATAGGGAACAGAGTAGCCAAGAACATATACCTCGTCGGCGTGACCCATGGACAAGGACAACCGTGTGGGGATAGCCTGAGGCAGTGAGGGAGGGCTGGGCGGAGGGGGGCACAGGGGTAAAAACTGGGACAACTGTAATAGCATAAGGAATAAAATCTAATTTAAAAAATAAAGTAGAAAAAAGACAGCGTCATAGGATTTTCCCCGGTTCCATACCACCCCCTTTCTCCCGCTGCATCCTCAGTGAGGGAGGGAAGGCCGTGTCCACAGCGAGGGTTCACTCCCCAGCATGCGTGGAAGCCCATTCTAAGGCACCAGCTGTTGAGGAAAGAAAGGAGCTTTATTTGTGAGTCAACTGGCAAGAAGACAGGAGGCAAGCATTCAATCTGTGTTCTTGATGCAGGATTCAAGGCCAACTTTTAAAAAGTAGCATTAAGGGTTCACGAGTGTTACTGGTAAGTGGTGTGTCCAAGGTTTAGTGTTTGCTTCCCGGGTCTTGTTAGAAACAGGAAAAGACCAGGTTCTGCAGTTACAATGTTTCTACCTTATAATCTCTGCACCTAAATAACTGGACCTGTAAGGCCACAGGACCAAGCAGGATCCATCAAACTCTATCTTCTGTGATTGGCAGTTGCTGGTCTAAATTTCTGTGCACGGAGGCAGTTGAAGTGAGGTAAACTCGGGTTGGGCACCTGGAAGGCAGAACACTGGACCCCGAGAGGAGCACGGATTGGGTGTGCTGGGAGAGGTGGAAATCCCAGACCATTTAGTCCCAATGGGGAGGAGCAGCAACTGGCAGCCCAGCAGCTCTGGTCGCTCAAGGTTCTCTGCCAGCGAGGCCAGGCCCTGCTCAAGGCCCAAGTGCCCTTCCTGCCTGACTGTGAGGCATCTCACACGCTTAAGTGCGGTGGCCCTTTTTGGGTTTGGGTGAGGGAAGCGAGAGAAAAGAATATGGAATCAGGGAGGGTGGTAGGGGAAGAACAGGGTGGGGCAAAAGGAGAGAAGTTAGTGGGGGGTGGGAGGAGAGAGGAGCTCAGAGAACTTCCAACAATCCTGCTCACGTCAAAAGGGGTTTTGAGGAGAATGGAGAAAGGTTATTATTCAAAGTGAATTTCGTTTTCTGTATACCCACCGCTTTTTTCAGTGAGCAATGGTGATATTGCAAAACTCTGCTTTGGGAAAAAGATTCTTCAGTACGACACTGAATGGGCACGCGCCCGTCTGCTGGAGGACACATGCACGTAGGGCACACCCAGTACGTCCATATATACAGTCTCTCCCTTCTGACTACTTGTTAGTTTCTGCTCGGCAGAATGTTGCGAGCATTTCCCACTTCCCGTCTTTTTTCTCTACTGCTTGTGGTACAAACCTGGAATATACTGCAAAGCGGTGAGTGTACTGGGATCCGGAGACTGGGCTGAGGAGGGGGAGGGGGAAGAGGGCTTCATGCTGGCACCAGGCAAGGAAGTGGGTGTCTGTCCAGGTGTTCTTAAGGGTAGGCGAGGATGTGGCATAGCTAGACAGACACCCCAGGATGTTACCATGACTGGGTGGGGTCTGGGCCTGGAGGTGGTCTGCCTCAGGCCTGCCGTTAGTGTGCAGTTTCCTGACTTCGTTTAGGAAAGATCTCACAACATGAGTCCAGGTGGTTTGGAGAGGACATTTTTAAACCTGAGGACATTGAAACAAAGAGAGGGCTCAGGATAGGAGAAGCAACAGCAGAGAGCCTAGGCAGGGAGGGCTGCTTTGGCTCCCTAAGAAATAGAAGTCACAGTAAAAGAAATGAGCTCACTGGGAAGTCAGAGAAAAAGGGGCCTTGGAGGTAGGCTCCGAGCTAAACCCAAGAGGAGCTGTTGCCCGCCTCCGCCCCGCCCCCGCAGCTCCCCTGCTCACAAGTCACATGGGGTCCCTCTGAGTTGAAGGGAAAACAACAGACTCAGGCAGGAGTGTGCTCTAGCGAGAGCAGCCCTGGATTCTTGGTCTTGAGGAGTTTTGTCTTTCTACGTTGATTCATCAAAATGTGTGTGTAAAGGGATCAGGGCTATTTTTTTCTGGTTAGTTTTATTTTTAAAGAACATTATTGGAGAGGGACCAGGACCAAAGTCAGTCTGCCCTGGGACGATGTGGGAAGATAAAACTTTGTGATTCATTAGCTGCCTGTAAATTGCTCAGATTGTTTGCCCGTGTTTAATTATTTGGCCTCAGTTTCCCTTATTCCATTGTGAAGGAATTTTCCTAACTTTTCACTATCCTGCCTAATTGTGTACACGCGGGTCAGAGGGGACCCCACCCTAAGGCATGGCACCTAGTACTGTGCTCACCTGCGGCAGCTCTCCCTCTCCTGCCAGGTCCCGCCTCCTCCAGGAAGCCTTTCCTGAATACCCAGGACCCATCGTGAAGGGCACGTGCTGATGTTGTTCTTCCCTTTGTGTTTCAATCCCTGTCTGTTCAACTTGATTTTGAGTCCTGGCAGGACCCAAAAAATCTTGTATTTTTGTACTCACAACTTGGTGGATGTAACGAAAAACATCTGTCAAATGAATCCTCTGGAAACAGGGCCCGTGGTAGCATCAGAGTGTTTTATTAAACCTCAGACAGTTAAAGGCAAGACAGGACTAAGGCTGCAGAGATAGATGGAGGGACCTGGGCTGAGACCCCTCTCTCAGCAGCCAGGCCCTTCACAGGGAGTCCCCAGGCTACCTGTCTGCTGTTTGTTTTTCCCCCACAGATGCTCACTCTCTTGTCATCAACCTCACCGTCCAGTCCCAGTCCAGACCTGGGCAGCCCTGGTATAAATTCCAGGGCTCAGTAGATAAAGAGCCTTTCCTTCAGTACGACAGTGACAGCAACAAGGTCAGACCTCTGGGTCCCCTGGGAGAGAAGGTAAAGGCCACCACATTATGGACAGAATTGCCACAAACGCTGAGAGACATGGGGCCCGAGCTCAGGATGACCGTGACTGACATCAGACTGGAGGGAAACAAGACAAGGGGTAAGTGAGGGGAGGGGAAGGGGGGTGGGGCCAGTGAGCAGGAGAGGGGAGGAGGGTGCACAGGCAGGGAGGGGGCTTGGTGGGAAGGGATTGCACCCTGGTCCAACCCCAGAGCCACAGTGGACCTAAGGGAGAGAACAGGGCATGGCGTGCAGAGGAGATTGCAGCCCCTACATGTGCAGGGACACGCGTGACTGTGGGAGATGGTGGAGCTCTCAGAGGGCAGAGTGACACCCCTGTGTGTGCATTGCAGGTCCCCCAACCCTGCAGGCTGAGCTGTCCTGCCAGTGTGAAGTAGGACGATGCACTGGTGGGCCCTTGAAGTTTAACATCAGTGAACAGACCACCCTCGTCTTTGAACCAATGAGCAAGAACTGGATAGTTGTTGGTCCTGGGGCCAGAGAGGTGAAGGAGGACTGGGAGAAGAATGGACAGGTGGAGCATTTCAGGAAGATCTCAACGGGAGATTGCAATCGCTGGCTTGGGGACTTCTTAGACCACTGGGAGAAAGTGCTGGAGCCCCCAGGTGAGTGAGCAGGGGGCGGAGAATGCGGTAGCTCTCATTAAGGGTCTAATGCCTTCCTTGTGTCTGTGCCAGTGTGTGTGTGTGTGTGTGTGTGTGTGTGTGTGTGTGTGTGTAATGGAAAATTTGACAGATGGATGGACTGGTTGATTCCTTGGTGGACTTCCTGTCTGGAGAGCCAGGGCCTGCCATGGGCTTTCCCACCAGCTCCCGGAATCCCATCCCACCTCCCTGAGCACAGGAGTTCCCACCTGCACTGGGCAGTGATTCAGCCATCAGGCACTACTAGATGGTCCTCAGATGTCTCTGCATTATACTGCTTCCAGGCCTTCTCTTCTTCCCGTGTTCTAGTTGTCCTATAACCAGGTCAAAGGTCACCTCTTATGAAGCCTCCGCCTCCTTCCTCAGACAGAATTAAGCACCCCCAATTCTGTCATCCTCAAAAAGGTCTACGCATAGCAAACTGTATTATAAACAGATGGACATTTACTGTCTCGCGCAGTAGAATGTGAGACCCCTGCGGACAGAGCACAACCCCTCTCCATCTTTATACCCCTGGACCTAACAGGGTGGCTGTCACATGATGAGTCAGTAAATGTGGGGGTGTCATGGGAAAACAGGTGCTGTTAGGTGCTTTATGCTTGATAGGATGTTTGCTTTCTTGTTTTAGTGCCACCATTACCGTCCTCAGCATCGCCTCCAACTACACAGAAAAATACTTCATCGATTATCGCTGGTGTCTTTGGCTCCATTCTTTTCGGAGTCATCCTCTCCCTGGGTGTTTGGATGTGGAAATCAGGCAGGATGAAAGGTAAGCAGCAGGCTGGCCTCTGGCTCTTGGGCAGGACATAGTCTGGGAAGGGCTTGGGAGAGGTGAGCCACGGTCTCCCCAAAGCCTTCTCCCCTGTCCATCTCTATGTAGAAATGATGTGCTTTGTTAGTGCTGAGCCCCCACACCCCACAGTAGCCATTTGAAATCATGTACAGGAAAGTGTTCGGCACACTTTGAAGTCACACACAATTGTTGGTTAGCATTATATCATATTAGCACACATGTTTATTTTTAATACTCATAATTATTTTAATAACTAGCATTTAAAAGGTTTGATGATACCTTCAGGGAGCACCTTTATAAGCTGTGAAAGTTTCTCCTCATAACAAGCCTACTGAAGCTCTCTGAGGCCTAAGACAAAAAGAAATCTTTACCCGGCTCCAAGGACATCTTACAGCGACCACAGTCGTGTGGGGTGGATACCTCGCAGGTGGAAGAGCCTGCGGCCCGTGGTGGTTCACTCCAGACAGAGCCCGGGCTAAGAGGCCACTTTTTTCTGCTTTAAATTCAGTAGGAGATGGGCCCCAAAAACCTTTAAAATATCTCCTTTTCACGTGATGACAAAAATATTGAGCTAATTGTTTTCCCTCTTTTTTTAATTTTTACCTTCCAGTTCTACCTCCTACTCTGTTCTGGGTATGAAAGCTATAATTTTTCAAATGTCCATCCCAAAAATAAAACATTGTAGTAGAGACTGCATTTTTCTATAGTTATTTATTTTTGCCCCCTAAAAAATACAGACATTTAACACTGTAAAATTCATAATATTCAAGCATGCAATCAAAAAATATTCAGACATGCGAAAAAGCAACAAAATGGTATGCAAAAGCAGGAGTAAAATGAGTCAACAGACACTGATTCAGAAACAAACAAGATGCAGGAGGTGCTCACAGGCAGCGAGAACTCCCCAGCACAGCCTCCCTGGGGTTGGACATTTTCATGTGCCTTATTACTGTGTGGTAAAACACGCCTCCTTTTGATCCCACATGATATAACTGAAGGCCCTTCCACAGGCTGTAGAGATAACTCATCAGGTCCCCATATTTGACTGTGTTCATATTTCGAGTGTGTGTGTAGAAACCTGAGTAAATGTGCCTACTGATTTTTGTATTTTTCAACAGCACAGTGTTGCCCTAGTACAACGTCTCAGGGACCTAGTGTGGAAACCATGGGGTGCTTTGGAGGTGAAGAACTGAATATGGTGTCTGGTGGTTCCCCAGCTGAGCTAGTCGATGTGTCTGGAGCAGACCCTTGTTGCGCGTAGGTCACCGGCCAGCAGTGACCACGGAACGCTGTGGATGGCTCGACGATAAACATGCGAGAAAAAACAACACATGCACAGAGACAGACTAGTTTCTGTGGGGAAGTAGGGACGAAATGGCCACCCCCCAGTGGGGGAGCGCGCTGATTTACCGTCCATACCTGCTTTTATTGGGCTCATTTTGCATAATAATTCAGGTAAAGTATAGTACTCATTAGGGGAAGTGAGGAAGTATAGAAAACAAAGAACTCTGCCGGTCTATTGAGTTGGGGTCAAAGAGCTGTAAGACTGAGGAACAAACTAACTTCCTCCTAAGACCCTTCTCATTCAACTGAGAGCATTCTAAACAAAGAAGGTTTCACAGTAATTTACATGTTCTTTCTTAGGCCTGATCACCCCGGGAAATCCGCACTTCTCAGTACCGAGCTGTACCACCCTGTCATTGTTTCAGGCTTAGGTGGAGCAAGGGAACTAGGTAACCAAGAGATAAGGAGATTTTCTCCCAGACGATGAGAACTCAGACTTTGTCAAAGCCGAGGAGCGAGGGTCCATCACCCCCTTTTTGCTGCAGCCCCCCAAGTCCTTCTTTTGGGGGGCCTCCCAAAAGTGATCGTGCCTGGCTTAGGTCATTCCCCGTGGGGAATCTTACCCGTCTTTGGCTAACCGACCAAGCTTTTTGGGGTTCAGCAGCAGAAGCAGCATTCCTGCCAGGGAGATAAGCTTTTGTCTCCTTGCTGGCTTACGGTTCCAAGGGCGTTCCCTTACCCTTAGCTAGGCGGGGGTTTCAGCCTCTGATACCAGTCAGGGCGGTTCCCAACAGACCCTGAAGGCACAAGGATGTGCGGAGAGCCCCTGCTCCCCAAGACCTCATGCCCCTTTGAATTGATACCCTGAGCAGGTCTGGCTGGTTAATGAAATAAAGAAGGTTGGTTTTATCCACTGTGTCAGGTAGTGGCTGACTAGATACTACAGCATAGTATTGTGAAGGCATTAAGATTTCCAGAACTTTCTATTATCCTGTCTCCTTTCTGCATTGATACAATCTTTATTTCCTCCCAAACCTTGTTTCCTCATTTTAGATCCTAGAACACTGATACTGCAAAATGAACTTGAGTGACCCCTTTGTGCCACCTGTTGTTTTGCATAGGAAGTTGTAGTGAGAGTCAGCATGCATCCTGGTTAGTGGAATAAATGAAAGCCCACGGAGGTCTTACTGAGGGTGCTCCAGGCACCCGCCAGTGTCTGGGACTTGCTGCCTGACACTCGTTCTGCTCACTTCTGTGCTTAAGTTCCCCACACTGTGTGTGACCAGCGTGTGACTCTACTGCTTTATTGGAGGGATCTCCTCTAAGAAGGCCGCCAGTGTGGAAAGAGACAAACGTGTGTGACCGTCTTTCCGGACGCTCCCTAGCTCAGGACAACAGCACTCAGCTTAGCACTCCCTGAAGCTCACTTGCCAGCGTCACTTGCCTTGGGTGGGCTGGAGACTGGGATTTGCCGGGTAGAGGCGAGCAAGGGAAGGGGCGGGGCTCTGGGCGGGGACTGAGTCCCAGGCGCGCGCGCTGTGTGAGGGGGAATGTGGGGGGGGGGGGGGGTAACGTGGCATGGGAGGAGACGAGGGGAGGGTGGATGTGACGTCCTGTGCGGGGGGAGTGGGCGGGGCTGGACACAGCCGCTGTTCACTCTTCTGGTGCTGATCCGCGCACAGGCCTCTGGTGGCCAAGGAGCGCACCGGGGTCCCGGAAGAGAGGCGGTCCCGGAAGAGAGGCGCGGGCGCGTGGAAACCCGGAAAAGACGAGGAGCGCTGCCACGTCGCGCCCGCTATGACTCCTGTGGTTGAGGTTCCCGCCGGCGACCGCGCGCCCGCAGCCTTGGGGGCGCAGCCGGGCTCCCGGGAGGCTGCGCTTTGAGTCTCCAGGGCCTCCTCCAGCCGCTGCCGTCCCGGAGAAACACTGGGCCCGCGGTTGCATGCCGGCCTCGCTCTCTACGGCCCACCTCGGATCACGTCCTCTGCCACTGGCCGCCATGGCCTTCGCCGCCCCAGACAACGCGGGCTCTGAGCTCAGGCAGCCGCCGCGGCACCCCGCGCTGCGTGGGCTGCTGCTGCTCTGCCTGTGGCTGCCGAGTGGTCTGGTCTCACGGCCAGGCCGCCGCCCCGCATCGCTGTCCGAGATGCACGCGCAGCTCTTTGGCACCTGGAGGACTTCCGCCGGCAGCTGCAGCAGGAGCGGCCGCAGGAGGAGCTGGAGCTGGAGCTGCGTGCTGGCGGCCTCCCACAGCAGAGCTGTCCCGGGCGGGGCGGCGGCAGCTACAGCGTCATGTCGGACGCCATTGTCCGCATCAAAGACTCTCTCGCGGCGGGCGCCAGCTTTCTGAGGGCGCCCTCGGCAGTGCGGGACTGGCAGCAGTGCTTGGCAGCTTCCTGCTCTGAGCCGCGCTGCTCCGTGGCGGTGGTGGAGTTGCCCCGGCGGCCCGGGTCCCGGCCCCAGCGCTCGGATGTTACCTCTTCAACTTCACCGCGAGCCGCCGCAGCGTCTGCAGGTTCGCGCTGCACCGGGGCTACAGTAGCTACAGCCTCAGCCGCGCCCTGGAAGGGCAGCAAGACCTGGAAGCTGGCGTCCCGGCCACCGCCCAGGCCTCGCCTCGACTGGGTAAGCAGGCCACTTGGGCCCTGTTGTCCTTGCACCAGTTGGGTGGCTGCCTCTGGAAGATTCGCCTGGCCATGAGCACTGGGCCCTCCACAGCCAAGTGAGAAATGAAACATCCTTGTTCCAAATGACCTTAGTTGCGGGCCTGCAGAGGAGTGGCTTTGATTTCTCAGTCTTAGGGATGGTTTCTGAAAAACCCCTGTAGATCGGGCAGAAGCAGGCACGCTGGGCTGATTTTGCAGTTTTTTAGGTTTGGTGATTGAGGCTGATCTGAGAGGATTCACGGAAATTCACTTTAAAGGAGAAAATCATACAGCCCCCCTCCCCAAAAAAAGCCCCGTTTGTTTCAACCTCAGGTTTAGGGTATGGTTTGGTCAAGTAACTGCAAGAGCAAAATCGAATTATGTCCCTGATTACTCATAACACTGTTACTGAGTTTGGCTCTCCGTACTCACGGTTCCACCTGTAGTTGCTCTCACCAGATAAAAACGGGGAAGAGCACCTGTCGGGTGTTTCTGAAGTGGGTCCGTCTGATATCCATGCACTAGCGTTCCCCTTCATAGCGTGAAAAGAAGGGACTTGATTTTAGTTGAAAATAAGAAAGTTTAGGGTACATCCCCTTTTTTAAAAGCTAAAATCATGCTTTTCAAGTGATAGTTTTACTTTCTGCAGATGTTCAGAAGGAGAGACTCAAGACACATAAGAGGCACAAGACGTGGTAGCTGGAGATTAAGGTCACAGAGGGACTAGAGCTTTGATTGAGATCAGCTCAGTGTTTGATCCCACGCTCTGTTTGATTCAAGATGAGGTGAGCAGACTCAGTAGGTCTGGAAATCTGGAGTCTCCCTGCCCTGCAGGGCCAATGGGAAGGGTCTGGAATCTGTGTGCACAATGCCCAACCCACCTCCACAGAGGGGGAGGCTCAGAACCCTTGTCACGGGGGCAGACGTGGCAGGTCTCATCCTAGAAGCAGGCACTGGGAAGGACCCCCAATTTGCCCCTGAAGTGGGGGCAGGAGGCACTTTTACCTGGACCCCCACCAGCATCCCTGAACCAGGCCCATGGACGGGGCACATGAATTCTTTCTCTCATGCAAAGGCAGACTCAAAAGGCCCAACAGCAGAAAACCAGAATCCCTTTTCCTTATTCTCTAGGCAGGTTTGTACGAAACCGACATTATCATCAGCTCATGAGGAGAAAGACTAGAACAGTACTCACTATAGATGATGATAATCACATTGAGGTTATGGATCATTTTTTTTCTAACGTATTGCAATTTTTAAAAACACACTTTAAAAAATGATGGGATTTCACCTGTACTACCCAGGCCTCTCTTTCAGTCTGGCTCCACTGCCGTGAGTTGACTTCGGGAGGCCCTGCTAAGGTCTCAGCCTCCGCTGCGTCCCCTGTGCCCACACAGCCCAGATCCAGATGGCAGACCCCTCCTGGTCAGGAAGGCTGTGTCTACTACAGCAGTGCGCTGTGAGTCAGATTAGTCAGCGGTATCATTGTTCTCTGTGTAAAATGCCAGTTGATCTGCCCCACCAAAATTGCTGTGTCTCTTCTCTGTAGATCTTACCAAGTATGTTTCATTTAGAAAAGAAATCGGTAATATTACCGTAGTACTTGACACTGGTTTATTACATTTTTATGATGCAAATTCAAAATTATCTTGTGCTTCAAAGGCAAGTCAAATATTTTTAAGTGTAGCATACTCCTTTCCTTTTCTTATCATCATTTTTTTAAAAATTTTAAGGCCTGTTACTGAGTAGATAAGCTCTGGCTTATTTTAAAATACGTTGTGCAACATGATTTCTCTGGACTTGAACTGAGGGGGAAATGTTTCTCTGTTGTTTCAAATATAACAGTGATCAATTTACAGGAGATGAGGGTTTCACTGTGCTCTTAAATCCTATCTTAAAGCTCACCTAAAGAAAAGTAAATCATTAAAAAATGATTTTTTCTTCCAGCATGGGAAGATTCATTAATTTTAAAATATGTGGGCTATTTCAACACTTAACTGCTTCTTCTATCTGGAATCTTTAGGGTTAAATCTTTGAGGTTTTACGTGTGTGTGTAGACATATATACATTATTACATCCATTGGTATTTATAGCATATAGTTAGTTATATTTTAGCTTCTGTACTTACAAATAGTATTTTAAGATACATTTCAATGCAAATAGCTGGTAATCCTTATATAGTACTGCAGAATTATAGGATGCATTCCCAAATTATGAAGTGGTTAACCATTGTGTGGAAAGCCAGAACCCAAGCAGAGTTCTCTGTTAATCTCTATAAAAGGGCCCATTAGTAACGCAGTTGTTACATCTCTCTTTACCTGGGAGAAGCAGAATAAAGACATCAGGCTTGGATCTTTGCTCAGAGGTGGAAAAAGTCAGAACAAGTTTCTTCTTAAGCAGTGGCTTATTGAAATCTGAGTTACAAGTCCTCACTGTTTTAAAGGACTCTAAAAACGGGACTCATTTTGTTCTCAGTAGACATTCAGGTGCACTTGTTCTTTGTAACATGCTCATTAAAAAAGGCATCTCCCTTTGAGGCTGGCAGCAGCCTTCTCATTCAGACAAGTCGCAGCTCCAAGAGCTGCATCCCCCTCACATACAGGCCCTGTTTCTGGGCCTTGAGGGAATCACTAGTTGAGAAGATAGGGCTGGACAGGTAGGTCTCTAGAATCTGGAAGGGAATGGTGACTTTTAGATTAGCATTCCAGAAGCATTGTTCTAGCTGCAACCTGTGGAGAACAACTACCTGTTGTTGCCTCTTGGGAAGCTGCTAGGATTGCCCCTAACCTCACTTGCCAGGCACTGGGACATCTGGGACCCACAGAAGTTTGCTTAGGAGACAGCTTTGGTGGCAGAAGAAGAAAGGCAGTGCCTTACTCACAACGTCATTCAGACTGAGTCAAGGAGGAACTAGTCCAGGCCAGCATTTGGACCAGAGCTTTGGCACTGGAGGGTGGAAGAAATAGTAGATACCAAAAAGGGTGTGTGCCATCCTGTAGAGTTTGTGTTTCAAGTGATACTACTGAATCTCTTTAAAATACATCTGCACTTGTGTATACTTACTAATAAGAACCTTAAATCAATTAAAATAGTCACAACTCTGCTTTTAGAAATGCAGCTTCTCCCATCAGTCATCACTGAACCAGCTGTCAGTTAATTATTAATATTTAAGTGAACATGGCCCTGCCTGGTGTGGCTCAGTGGATTGAGCACCGCCCTGGGAACTGAAAGGTTGCTGGTTCAGTTCCCAGTCAGAGCCTGGCTTGTGGGCCAGGTCCCCAGTTGGGGGTGTGTGAGAGGCAATCAATCCATGTTTCTCCCGTTCACTGATGTTTCTCTCTTTCTCCCTCTTTTCCCCTCTCTCTGAACATAAATAAAATCTTTTAAAAAAATATTTAAGTGACTATAA